CCATTCACCTCTCAGCTGTCAAACAGTGTGATACACAGGGCTACACTCATCACTGTTTAAGTGTTCTATGTTAGAATTTGATTACTAAAAGGTTTAAAAAAAGCAAAAAAAAAATATGGTGCTAAAACTTCACCCCTGAGCGCGGTCAGTGAGACTGGTCATGCAGGCATCTAGTGCCAGGCTTTTCAACAATATGGTTTCTTTTTCAAATGTCTGCCCTGTTCTGTGTCTTCAACAGTGTATAGTGTTCTCCAGTTTAATTTGTTTTGAATAGGGTATGGCTAAGGGGTGGGGAGGGTTAGCTGTCATTTTTAAAGAACAGAATTTTAGGATTGAGTGACTTGGTTGGTTTAAACCTGAAGTGAGCTAGATGGTTTGGGACTGAGGAAGCCTTATTCTCTCCCACTCCCATTTCCCTGCTCAGTCTGTTAAAAACAACAAAACAAACCAAACAAAAATGCCTCTGAATATGTACTGTGTTCCTGTCTTGTTGCAGTGAAAAGAGAAGCTAGCAAACAGAAACTGGTCTGCTGCCTAAGAAACAGGCCTTCTCAGCTTTAAGGGTCCAGCTATAAAATCAGTTGAAAAGTGTGTCAGTAGTTAAATTAGCTCAGAAAAATGTATTACAAGGACAGGTGGTCTCAGGAAATAACCCCATTTCTAGATCATTACATGGCAGCTATGCATAAGGATGGAAAAGGTGAACTAGAAACAAAACAAATTTTGAGTAGCCTCAAGATGGAGGCACCAAAGTCAGTGACCAACTGGTGTAAGAATTTCCATGTGGGATGGTACTACTCCTTCTCAAAGCAACTTGTTACCTGGTTTGATCTGGATGTAATTCATCCTTAGAAGCAAGTGCCTTTTGGTCTAGAAGGGCTTATTCTCATGACAACCACAACTGAGAAATAATCTCACTGCAGTTCTGAATTGTCTTTGCTTTACAGTAACTACAGGAGAATGTCTGTGATCACTGGAGTCTGTCAGTGTTGGAATGTTCCCACTGTGAGGTTCTTAAAGATTATTTCTATTTTTCATGTTCAACAGTCAATCTCAACTGAGACCATTTCAGTTTGGGAACATTTTATGGTCAAAATACCACATATCTACAATTTATCAGAAAAAACAAAAACAAAACACAAACCAACAACTAAGAAAATCTAGGAGTTACTTTGCACAAAATAATTTGTTTTTCATAGTACCTTAAACATTTGCAATCTTCACTGTTAGTGTTGTTTTCTGTTTGTATTCTGGAAACTACATGTTGTTTTGTTGGTTTTTTTGGTTAATTTATTTCCTTAAAGCAGGAGACCTCCTTTGACCTTCAGTGCAGAGATGTCAGACCAATTCTTTGTATTACACTTGGTTGCCTCCTACCTATATAATAACTTCTGAGTGTAAATAATTGAACTCTATCCTCTAATGGAGTATTGTAGAGAATAAATCATAATGGAAAACATTATTTGTACTGTGTCCTCTTTCTATGGTTTCTCAGAGTCTTTATGGGGATAAGTTGAAGTCTTTCTCATCTAGGAAGATGATGAACACTGAACCTCTAGTTCATCACCATGATGATTACAAGTATCAGCCTTTATTATTAGGTCACATCTCATTCTTATACCTTTTTCTCCTGTCCACGTGCCTTACACTTCCTTGCCATTGGGTAACAGCTTCTGTTCACGCGTTCTATCTCACTTTGTGATAGGTTACAAGTTTCTTACACTTTCTTACAAGAATGTTAACACACATCCATATCTCTTTCATACCTTCTTTTCCCACAAACATGTTTGTCTCTAACTGTCAAGGGCACAGCTGTAGTTTGTCGAGATCAAGGCTGCCTGTGGCTGATGCCCACATTAAAGGATTTGATGCTCCACACAAAATATAGAATTACTTATAGAAAGCTTAAAAACTACTGGGAAAACACAATTTCTTCTGCTCGTGGGTGCATGGCTATACTAGTAACAGCACATCCTTGTTACTAGTTCTTCCTACATTTTATTACACAGAGGTATTGGGGAAGTTGTTTTCATTTGGTTGGTTTTTTAAGATCAGTGTTGGTGCAATTACTTGTTACTGGGTCTGTTTTTAAATTGTGGTAATGAAGCCATTACCAGAGTAGGGTTGCCTAACAATCCACTACATCATATCTCCATGTCTCCAACAAGGGTCCTGCCCTGGAATATGGAATATTAGAGGCTTTGCTCATCATAAATTAGATTTGGCCAAATCCTTTTTTGTTTGTTTTTTTTTAATCAGTTCCTGTTAGGACATGAGCAGCAAATATGCCTGAAACTTCCTATTGCAATTCACTTAATTTTAATCTAGCTCATCTTCCTTTTTTTATGCACATTTTCCAATCAAACCAATAAATGCTGAAACAGTCATTAGTGAGGAAGACACTAGAGCATTTCAATAATTACATACGACAAAAGAATGTCAGGTACTGTTATGTTTGGTTTGTTGCAGCAGCTGAGCAACCTTTATTGTGATTTTTGAAGTCCATTTTTCACATTCTTAACAAAAAATGAAAAAGGGGGGGAGCAGGTTCAGTTCAGGAATGTTCTTATTTATCTCTTGATTCTTGAGTCCTTAACCAAACACATCAGTGATAATGAGCCTTTATCTTTCATGGCAGCCTCTTTAGCTGTTCCTATAAACTCTGGCAAGCATTTGGCTTTCTCTTAATTGTGATAGTTCTTGTGTACTTAAGTAGAAGGGATTATTGAGGAAGAAGTTGTGATGTTGTGTCCTTTAGGTGAACTTAGTTCATTATAATGTCACTGTAATTCTAAAACATCACACCCCCAGGTCAGAAAGACCCCCGTCCGAGTGAAGACCCTTCCCCTGAGTGTGCGTGATCGCAGAAACTGTGATGTAGCCATTTGCAAATTACTCACCAATTACTATAAGTAGGATGGACTTGGAAACTTACTGACGCTATAGTTTTGTCTTGAAAAATCTGGTCGGGTGTGTTGGATCTGCGGGAAGGCACCAAGCACCCAACTTTGTACACACCTGCCATAAAATAGAACAATGTCTCCTTCCTAACCGCAGCCCCTCTGCCCGCGCTCGGGCGGGGGGAGCTCAGCGGGGTCACGGTGGTGCCGGAGGCTCCGGCAGGCGCTGCAGCCCCGTGACCCGCCCCGGCGCCGGGTCTGGCGGGGGAAGAAGGTGCATCTTCTGCGTCAGGGCCTCCCGATTCGGAGCTGAGCTCCTCGATCACTTCCCGACAGACGGAGCAGAACGAGCTTCCTCCGTTTGAGCCAAGCGTGGTTTCCCGCACCGACCCTCCGCTGCCTGCGCGCTCGGGCCGCGGTTCATCCGTTGCCAGAC